ATAATAAACTGATTCTGATTATTGTTTTTAGTAACGTTTTGAAGGACTTTGTGTTATTTTTTTTTTATGTGAGATGGACAACCATCTGAGAGGAAGTGACTGAAAAGATAAATGTACATACTCTGCGTGCATGCACACAAGTTTGGCTCTGTGAATCCACTTCCTACTTAGTGCCCACTTTAAAAGTCCAGTCACAACAGCACCCTGTCAGACTCCTTCAGTCATGGTTCGACTTACAGGAAGGGGATTACCCAGGATGGTTTCCCACAAACACAACGAGGACTTACTCGTTGCGAAGAGGACCAGTGTAGACCCTCTTCAGCACCACCTGGCCGAGGGTAACATGGTAGCAGAGGTAAACCATTCCGAAGCCTCCGTAGTCCAGCGGCTCCTTTTTGATCAGGTCCGTCGAGCTCATCTGAAGCGACGTTTGAGACGCGGTGGCCATTTCTGTGACAAATCACAAGAAATGACGAGAATTAGAAGAACCACAGCCCAAACTATGCCCACGACAAAGTCACTAAAGTGTAAATACACAGTTTATTACACTCGAAAGCCGGCGCAGGACACAAGCTAATCGGCTAGCCCGGCGAATTGATCATTCGTAACGTTCAAAACACCTTCCAGGAGAAGTCAGCACCTTCATCCCAAAGTTCCGGAAACTTAACTTTTACCATTAAAATCGTTAACCAAACACAATATGGATTAAACTTGTTCACATCTATTATAAAAAAGGGGGGGAAAGGCATAATAATTTACCTTAAAATGCACGTAGAGGCACTTTCTGTAGATTTCCGGTCCGATGTCCTGCTTCAAAAGAGAAACTAGTTGCGGAAGACTACAAACAGCCTAACAAGTCGATGACAGATGAAATAAACCAGGACGATGAGTAGATTAAGGTTTGCGAAGCGTTGGTTTAAAAAAAGACCACAACGCGTTGAGATAATAAAACACATATAAAAGGTTAAAATGCATGTCTTGTTCTGAGTTTTGTTTGTTTTAATGGATTTCTTTTAACAACAAAGTCCATGCTCAATATTTTTCTTAGAATAGAAAATAGATTTCTTTTAAGTTTGAATTTAATTTTTGTATGTCACATTGCTGCCACCTGCTGGTCAAACTAATCAATTGAAAATAAAATGACTGGCCAAGTAGGCTTTAAAACTTTGACCTTGATGTATTAAATTTACTATTCTTTTAGTTGATCTTCATACCTACATAAATCTGCGAGTAGTCTAAGCTTTTAGAGGACTTGTTTAAGACTTTGCTATGCTTTAAATACACAAACAAAGCAACAGTTTTTACTACTGATCAACATAACATAATTATGCTCTTCTTAAGAGGGAATCAAAGCAAGTTCATTGATAAATCAGGCATTTATGTGAAACTAGATCAGGAAACCACCTGAAATTGTAGCTTCTCACAGCGTGGGTGAAGTTTAACATGTAGGCCTACATTTTGGGCAACCTATCTGTGAACGCCCACACTATAAATTCCTCCTTTTTGCACACTAAAACCACAACAAAGTAGTATCATGTTTACCTGTCTTGTGTTTTGTCAGTTTAGTGGTTTCTATCTTTTCTTTTCTTTTTTCTAAAATGCATTTTTATTGCTGGTAATCTGAAGATTATTTAAAAAAATCCAAACTTGAATCAAACAGTTTTAATGACAATTAGACCAGCAATCTTCTAAACCAAGTAGGTCATTTACAGTAAATGTCTGCAGCATGTAATCCACTATAAATGAAGTACATCATATGGCCAGGCCCCATTCTTTCCATGTAGTGCTCCATTATAACTTGTCATGGAATTGTTCACGAATGGTTTCACCAGTCCAAAACAGTCATCTCTACACTCAGTAACTCTAACTTCATTATAAATATGCAGCATAAAAAAGCATGAAGCTACTTTATTTGGCAAAATTATTGAAAAAATAAAACCGAGGCTAACATCAAACAAGCCATCAAACAAAAAAAATAAAAATCTTTGTTGACCAAAAACCAACTCACTAAACTGTGTGTTCGGTTACTGTCATTTGTGTGTCTGCAACAGACACCTCCCTTCATTCAAGCCTGGTCTAGTCGTCCCACAACAACAGATCACCAGGAAGTTAAAGCAACTGGTGCCTGACTAGTAAACGTGCAGCCAATGTGGGGCAGTGGGTAGCAGCACTTCCTGTTGACGTCTTTTCACAATGATAATAATCAGCACAGAAGTGCCAGGTGACATCTTTTGCTCTGTCAAAGCCTCAGTTACTGCCCATGTGCATGTTTGTGACAGATTTTTTTAAAGTCTGTGAACCGTCAGAGTGGTTTTGTGTTTGAGTTGGTTTTCTGCTAACAGATATGTTGAGGATGGAGGTTCTTCCTGCCAGTAAGATGCAAAAGATGACGAGACATGTTAATGTTGTGACGGCTGATAGAATTTGTGGCTAAAGCTTTTTATTTTGGAAAAGAAAAATTATACCTATCTTACAAGCTTTTCTTGATACACTGTTTATTTGAAAATTCTATTCAGTAAAACTCTCAAGCTGTTCTTGCAAAAGCCATTTGTGAATGGCATTCAGATTTGGGCCTCAGCATAATGCAGTTTCTTTTTGCTAAACATTTCTTGGCCACTACTGCATGCAACTGTTTAGTCTGTAGTACAGGGGGCATCCAGTCCTGGTCCTTGAGGGCCACTGTGCTGCATGTTTGAGAGGTTTCTCTGCTCCAACGCACTTGATTAACAGGCGTCTGGAGAACATGAAGAGGTAATTTAACCACTGAATCAGGTGTGTTGGAACAGCCCTCGAGAACCAGGATTGGACAGTCTAGAATGTCATTACATTCATCGTAGTGCTTGAATAATTTACATCTAATGCACACATTGTTCTCGAGTTTTTAGTTTTTGGTGCTCTGTGCACTATCTGACCCTCTCGCAGCTGAACACAGTGATTAGCTGACATCAGTCACACAATCCACAGACCAGTCTAAACTGTTCACGAAGACACACTCTGACCACTGTGGTGCTTCTTCCTGAGCAAACAGGGTTTTTTTTTTCTTCCAGAGAGTAAACACCATGGGGGTTGATTTTTAAACAGTATTTTGGTATTGTCAGTGTAGATTTGAACTTGTTTTTATGTATCAGTTTTGACTGTGCCGCCTGTCTTTTCACCCCTGGATTAATTAATCTCAAATGACATTGCATCTGAAAGTAAAACAAAACAAAATAACAGAAAACAATTGTGTGACTCAGATCTGTCTTTTTTTAGTTATCATAATTTAGCTTATAATTCTACCATATCCAGCTCCATTGGACACATACTTTCACTCCATACGTGTGTCAGTCAGTGGAGACATTATTACCGTCTGATTTGTGGTAAATACTTAGATGAGAGGTATTCAGTGTGCTTTGTCCAGAGGAGAGGATCTTAACCTCTCACAAAACCTATATAAATCATTTAGCATAGCATCGCAGAGATAAATGATAAAAGAACAGGTCCGCTTTTTATGGGCTAGTGTTTGAGGTTTATTTGTTCATAAAGCTAAAGTGTGAATGATATGCTTTCACAGTGTCAACATTCAACTGTGAATTCATTTTCTCATGGACTGCAAAATAACAGTCGCTTTCGGCTTGTGGTGAAATAGTTGTTAGATTTAGGGAAGAATGCGTGTTATATACAAATGCTTGGACTTGTCTTTATTTTACACAGCCATCTGTTAACGATGTCAAATTTGATAGTTGTTTAGCTGAATAGCTTGTGAAGCTTAGTGCTGAAGTTTAGGCTCAATAATAGTAGCATTATTAAAATGTTCTATTCATCCATCCATGCCTAACTGTCTATGAGTGTCCAAACTCTCAACATATGCTGTATGTATTTGAAGCAATTTATACATAAGGAAGTTGACAAACTATTTGGAATGACCTATTTTATGACAAGAAATTGATTCAAAACATGAATAAAAATGAAGGAAATTAATGACGCCCTTCAGAACGGATTCAGTTCATATTAAAACCAAGAGAAGCAAAAGTCTGCACGGTTACAGAAGAAACCATGGCAGCTTTTAAGGTACAAAAGGTACACTGTATTTTGATGTTGCTTAATGTTCATGTTTGTCGCTCCATCTGGAAAACAATGAATCGTAAATGGACTGTACTTACAGTGTATATCGCCTTTCTATCTAATCAAGATACTCAAAGCGCTTTACAACACGATCTGTGTCCTCATTTACCTCCACACACACATTCATACAACACTCTATTACATCTCAGCTTATCTGAACAAATCATTGTATAGAGACTAATCAATGCTTTTAAACAAATTCAGACACTGTCACACATCGGAGGCAACGAGGGGTTCGGTGTCTTGCCTTTGGGACACAACATGTGACTGGTGATGGAATCGAACCCCCAGCTCTCCCATTGAAGGATGACTGCTCTAAGCGCTCAACCACATCTGCCCCCAAATGATTTTAGTGTGGACTGCAAGGAAAAAGAAGCTACAAGAAAAACAAAAGAAAAACAACTGCGTGTCCTGTCAGCACTCTATAAAAATATCACATGATCAAGCCAGAAGGATGTAGTAAAACTGATTTGTAAGCAGATCAGATGAAAATAGAATATTTGAGCTTGAATGGGAAGTTTTATGTTTAGAGATGGTCAAATATTACATTAAAGCATAAGAACCACCTCCTGCCTGCCTGTGAGGGTAGTATCATTAATGGATGCTAGCAAACAGTGTTTTTGCATGAGGAAAGCCAGCGACATTCCAGAGCTGAAACTGTTCTGCAGGGGGACGAGATGAAACGCCTCCAAACTGATCTGCAAAACGTATTAACATTTACCATGATTGCATCACTAGTTCTAGATCAATACGGTTGGATCATGGACTTCATTATGAACATTTCAATAATATAAATTTATACCTGTGTAAAAATCTGATGGGGTTTAGTCATTTGTTTATGCTGGAACATAAGCACTTAAAGACTTAAACGTGTATTTATTTGATTCAATGTTTGGCCTTTAATCTACTGAACGCAGGAAAGCTGCAGAGCTTGTGTTTTTCTGATAGTTTAATGGGATCCTGACTTTTTTAATAATGAGCATTTTCAATTTAGTATTGAGCATTTTAGTCCTCAAGGACTATGTTCTTAAAAGAAAAACTGTATAAAGTTCATAGACAAGCCACCTAAAAGAAGAAGGAGGCTTCATTGGTGAGAGCAAGATTGCTTTTTTCTTTTCTTTATAGGCAGAGTCCAAATTCTCTTGCATGGGTTAGAGTATTTTGCTTTCTGTCTATATGTACATTTCATACAGATGTGAAAAAACTGAGATCGCAGCGTGCAAGTATACGAGTGAAGCCATGTGTAACTTGCAACAGGCAAGATTAAAGTGAAAAGGGAAGGCCTATTCTTGAACTTCCCAAAACAGAGTCCAGTAACAAGTCTCACCGCACTGTGCTTTTGGAGCTCGATAGCTCACTAAGTGTTCACAGTGTGAAGTTATATTTGCTCAGTGGGTCTTCTCAGAAACATCTGCTTTTTTATAAAACCTGTAATGACAACGTTTTTTATATTTTTTAGAATTGGTCTTCAAAAAAAATTTTTTTTTGGAAGCTGAATCTAATTTAAATATGCTGCTTATAATATGTGCATTTAATAATTTAGACTTCAATCCCACCCTGTGGTTAATTTGAGCCGGATCCTGCCGGAACAAGAGCCTGGAACTCTCTCGTTTTAACCCGTTCTGTTCCGGCAACTCCTTGTTCGGATCCGGTAGCTCCGCCCCTAAAAGTCTAAAGTCTTCGCGCATTTTTATTTTGATTATTCATTTATAAAAGTAC